GAAACCGGGACGCGATTAACTGAGGGGCAGAACACCGGTTTGTGATTCGTTGGACAAGAACATTCTGCGCTCTGATTGGACCAGAGGGCAAGTCCTCATCTGACTGGATGGAAGCAAATTGCCAATCAGACACACAATGCCCGGGCTTCAAGGCGAGCGCGCAGAGATGTGGGGTTTGTATTCGCGGGGGTGAGGTGGGGGGCATATTGGCCCCCTGATTGGATCAGACGGCTGTCACTTAGAAGCAGGCCCTGCCCCTTTTCTTCACTTCTTACCCGCTCCAACTCCCCTGCCAGAGAACCCAGGCGTCCCAGGTCCCACCCCCTGCCCTGCAAATAATGACTGAGCTGTGACATGTCACCAGTTCATTTATTTGCTCAAACTACAGCAGCATAAGCCTCGTTCCTTGGCAAGGGGCAGGGAAGGCACCCCGTATCCTGACCCCACCCCCAGCTCCGGGCATGGAGGTGTTAATGATCCGTTGCCCCGCCCCTCCCCGAGCGAGGCTTTTATGTATCTGTATATAATACCTGTCTCTATATGTATAGAATTTCCTTATTTTTTAAATGTCTAACAGGAAAAAAAAACGAAGGGGAACCTGAGTTGAACTTACATTGTCGGAGCTGGCGACAGGACCCAAGCATACAGGAGGGAGGAGACTCCTGTTGGACTCCCCTTCCTGAGCAGGGGGGAAAGGGCCCAGGTCTCCAGGCTTGTAGCGCCCCCGCCCCACTTCCAGAGTGGGCAGAGAGCCCAGGCCTCCAGGTTCCTCTGACTCAAAAAAAAAAAAACAACCCGGGCTTCCGAGTCCAGAAAGGACCCAGGTGTCCAGACCTCTCTGGCTCCAGAAGGCCCCTCCCTTGGGCCTCCAGCTCCCAGCCAGCCTGAGGACAGATTCCAGACAGGGGTGCAGGTGGGGGCAGAATCTCTGCCCACCCCCAGTGGCCACAGAGGCAGCTGCATTGTGCTATAGAGTATTTTGAGAAGGGGGCAGGGTCCCAGTCCCTCCCCTCCATTGGTGCTGCCCCCCACCCTACCACAGCCAGTCTGGGCTTGACACAGGTGTCTGGGGCCTCTGCCCTCCCACCCTTGCCCCAACTCCTCCCTAAGCCAGGCTAGAACCTAGGCATCTGGGCCCCTAGACCCCCATGCCCCAGGAAACCTGGGGAAGGGAACCCAGGGATTCGGGCCTCTGCCCTCCCCTGCCGTTGCACTAGTAGGGGGAGGGGTCACGGTTTATGGTCTGAGCTCAGCTTCTGGTCTCTGGAGGAGTCATGACCCCTAGGAGAAGGATGACCTGTGAGGTGAGGTGGATATGAGGGGGAGGGGTTCTCCCCCTAGTGCATGCTGGGAAGGAGGCACCCCCCTGGTGGCAACATGGACACATGCACAGTCCTGCTGTGTGCATAGTAGATGGGGGCACCTTGATGTGTGCAGGTGTGGGGGGGCCTGAAAAAGGACCCGGGTATCCTGAAGGAGAGTATCCAGGCATTGCAGGTTCCCATAGCTGGTGACAGAACCCAGGCACCAGGCCCCTTCTCCCTGCAGGCTCCCATGGCTTTTGGTTAATGAGCTCCAGGAGTGGCCCATGTCCTTGCGCCTTGGGAAATAGTTCCTCCCTCCCCAGGCTTGCATAGCTGACCCTGATATATGGCTTTGCTCGTGAAGGGGGCTGGACTAAAGAGTAGCAGGTGAGGCAGAGTGCCATGCCCCTCCCCCCACCTTTCCTTTCCAGACCCATGGGAACTCAGACATCTGGGTTAAGGTTGCAGCACACACCTCCTGCCTGCCCCACACAAGAAGAACCCAGATGTCTGGGTAACGCTGTTCCCTGGATGGGAGGAACCCAGGCATCCAGGAGAGGAAGAACTCAGGCACCCCAAGCTGGAGGGATCCAGGTGTCCGAGGCAAGAAGAACACAGGTGTTTGGTACAGGCTATGCTCCTAAGCAGGTGGGATCCAGGTATCCAGGACAGGAAGAACTGAGGCATTTGGGATACAAGCACAGGCATTTGGTACAGGACATGCCCCTAAGCAGGACGAACCCATGTGTCCGGGGACTCTGGCTTCTGGAACAGGAAGAACTCAAGTGTCCAGGACAGGAGGATCCCAGGTGTCTGGAGAAGACAGGACCGTGGCATCCAGGAAGGCAGAACTAAGGCATCTGGACTGGGTAGAATACAGGCATCTGGGATGGACGGAACCCAGGCATCTGGGACATGAAGAACCAAGACATCTGGGCTAGGCAGAACAGGGTCCAGGCTGGGCAGAATACAGACACCTGGGACGGGCAGAACCTAGGCATCCGGGACCAGCAGAACCCAGGCATCTGGGTTGGGTAGGGCCTGGGCATCCAGGACGTGAAGAACCCAGGTGTCCAGGATAGGTGGAATCCAGGCCAATGGAACCCAGGCGTCTTGACGCAAAGAACCCAGGTGTTCAGGGACTCCCCTCAGAGGGAAGAGATGTGCAGGGGAGGGGGCTGGGATGCCGGGGGGGGGCTCTCATCAGGGGTGTTGGCAGGGGGTGTGGGGATGCTGATGATGGCTGCTGCCAGTGCTGCTGCCTCGTAGCTCAGCTTCAGGGTATCCGGTGTTGGTGTCGCATTCAAGCTGGACCGGCTAGAGGGAGGGGTGGGGGGCATGAACCCAAGCGTCTGGGCTCCCAGCTCCACCCTCCCCCAAAGTTTCAATGGCTGCCCACTGGATGGCAGCAGAACCCAGTGTTTCCCAACACAAAACTGATAGACATAGGCTGCAAACATGCCAGAGCCATGCAGTATACACATGAAGTACATGCCACAGAACTGCCCAGAACACAGGACACAAAACTGAGAACATGCCAGACCCATGTTGAGCCAGTGCCATGCACACATCAACTGCACACCAAAAACATTTTGGGATCATGGTAAGCATGTGCTGTGAACATGGTACAAACACACAAAATACATAGAGCACATGCAAGAAAATAGGCTGTGCTCACACCTGGAACCAGGAACACTTGAGCATCCCAAGCACATACCAGAAAGTCATCAAGCACATGCAGGGAAAAAACTAGGCCCCACACTGGAAACATGCCAAGCCCACACCAAGTCCATACTCTAAATATGCCACCTGCTGGTGCAAGTACACCATGAGCATGCCAGGAACATGCCAAATCCACACTGCAAGCATGCTGCACACATGCCATGAACACACCATGAATATGCCAACCACACGCTGGGAACATGCCATGAGCATGCTAGAAACATGCTAACCCCAATGCCAGGTGCCCTGAGAGAACACACCAAGCCCATGCCACAAACATGTTGGGAACACACCAGCCATACCATGGCATACCCCAAGAACACACCAAACACACCGCGAATATGCCAAACACACCCTGTGAATAGTCCAAGCACATGCAGTACCTGTGAGCCGGCCCCTTGAGGCCCTGCAGGGTGCTGAGCTCCTGGGCAATGGCCCGGCTGCCTGATGGGGTGGAACCAAGGCGGAGGGGGCGGTGACGTGGTCGCCGGGGGCAACAGGATCCACCCGGAGATGGGGCCCCACTCGAGGACAGCGACAGGCTCCTCCCAGACCGTGCCCCTGGCGACACCCCCCGCTCTGCTGCAAACTCATGGTTCTGGGGTGGGGTCAGAAGAAGGGGGCGGGGCAGGAAAAGGAGGGGTATCACTTCTAGGGCAAGACCTGACCATACTGACCCCCATTCCCACCTAGGACTAGGGTTGCCAACTCTGACCAAAGCTATTCCAGGAGATTTTTTCCCCCCCCAACATGATGTAATGTCATTAATTGTACTGTTCAACCCCTTTGCAATATCAGATCTCCCAGACTGCTATCAATAATCACCGGGAAATTGATGCTGATTCTGCTAGAGTCCCAGCCAATCTGGGGGGGTTGGCAACCTTACCTAGGACCTGCTCCTACTGAGCATCCAGGTTGTGGGGGGGGGGGGGGGGCAGAGCGGG